CAATGATGGTGCCAACTTGGGCCAGTGAAGCAACATCCTCCACAACTAGACTGAAGAACAAAAGGACAGCAACTTGTCTGTTCCCCTTCCCCAATTCCTCAATAAAAATCTTTAAAAAAAAAAAAAAAAGTCAATCTGATTACTTACTTTTAACTTGTCTTTTAAAGCTTCCTTTTCTGCCATAATCCTCCTTAACTCAGATAATGCAACTTCTTTTTCCTTTTCCATAAGACTAGCAATATTTTGGGAAGCTGTGCTTTGGGTGGATTCTTGTCTTAATGAAGATAATTCTTCCTGAGCCTTAAAGAATTAAAAGTATAAATAAAAAACACTTTGGATATGCTCCCAGTTAAAAAAAAAATGCAAGCTAAACACATGCTGCCTTTGCTTTTTCAAAATTCCAACGAGTTGAAAGATTAAAATAATAACAATAATAATAAAAACAACAACAACAAAAAGACAAGGAGATTGAGGGAAGTGCCAGACAAAAAATTTTGGAAACCAGAGAGCAGATGGACAACCAGTAATTAACTAAGCAGACCCAAGAAGGCCAAGGTCTAAGCCAACAGTGAGGAAAGCCCAGAAGTGGATCAATTTGCACTTCAGAATCCCAAAAAAAGTTACAAAAGTGAAAACAGCTTTTTCAACTTGACCTTTTAACTTGGATGTCCTTCTTACCCTCTTGAAGTAGCAGAAGGATTTCATGGAAGATTGGTATGGGAACAAATTTAGGTGATCGATACCACGCTTTACTCAGATTCACCTTGGCCTCTGACAACAGAGGCTTTGTAACTGGGCCGGCTGTTTTCCCTCTTCCCTAGTTTTCTCACTAGGGGCAAAGTCCTCAACATCCAATACATCCAAATAGTGGGTGCTACCCACCATTTGGTAGACATATCCTAACATGTCTGAATCCCAGGTATTAACTTGGCTCAGAGTTAGTCTAAGACCTGTTCCAGGTAGTTTTAGAAGTAGATTATCTCCTGACCTGACACATAAGCTAGAAAAGAGAAGGAATAAATATGAAAAATTAATAGAAATCTCTGCTTTGGGAACAGGATGATAGGAGAAACTACTATTTATAATTCTAATTATGAAGGAATACCACAAGGTCCATATATTATAGTTTAAAAGATGCATACTAATTCCATTATAGTTAACTGGGTCTATATAATCTGTTGGCTTAATTATAATAAATTTCTTACTTCATTATATAAGACACTTAGTTTATCTCTTTCTGCTGTCAATAATTTAACATTGGACTGAATATCTTCCATATGTTTTTCAAATCTTTCAAGCATATGCTGAAGTTCATCTCTTTCTCTTGTGATCAGATGAATGTCTGAATTGTAATCACCCTGAAACATAATTTAAAAACAGAAGTTATCATTTGTTATAACTATCACCATGAGGTTGTCACAAGGATACTGGTAATGAGACTGACTGAAAGATCTAACAGACAAAAGAACACCGTTTAATGTAGTTAAGGAACACAACTTTTAATCTATATTGAGAGCAGGAGATGAGAGGGTTGGCCAGTACTGGTGCAAATTTCCCGGCCTTCAAGTTCCCAGGAAGGGGGCCAGCTGCCAATGATGCTACTTGATCAGATTCCATCTGATGCTTCAAGTGTCATTCTCCTGGAGTTATTTATACTGGTGGTAACTAAAGTGTAATTCCCAGACCAGAATCATCAGCAGAATCTAGGAACTTGTTAGACATGCAAGTTTTGGGGCCCACCCCAGACCTATTTAATCAGAAACTTTGGGCACAAAGCCCAGTATCTGTGGTTTATCAAGCCCTCCAGGCAATTTTGGTGCATGCTAATTGTGGGAACCACTAGTTTATAANATGAGTTTTGGGAAAAGAAGCTAGACCCTGAGGTAGGCAAGGGCCAATCACTGAAATCCTTAAAACACAGTTCATGGATTTTATATAGAAAGGGCATGATTGGATTTATACCTTTGAAAGATGACTCTAACTTCAGTGTGAAATATAGATTTGAGAGGCTGCTAATACACTAATGCAATTAAGAGAGAATAATGGCCAGACAGGATGGCAGCAGGAGAATGCAAAGAACTAGACAGACTTAAGAGAAACTAATTAGTGACCTCAGGAGCCAGGCTCCTTGTGACTTCATAGGTAGGTGGTCTTGGGCAAACTATTTAAACTCACTGAAACTCAGAGACCGCATCTGTAAGCATTATCTATAAAAGGCAGCTGTTAAGATTTACTGAGACAGCCCATGTAAAAAGCACTTAGCACAGGGCCTCCCACATGGAGAGGGCTTAATAAATGTTAAATATTATTTAAGAGGTAGCATTGATAGGACTTGGTGATTATTAAGCGATAAGAACTTTCAGGGAGAAAAGAGGCAGTGATACGCCTGGGTTCGACAACTGGGTGGATGGTGGCCTAACAGAAAACTCTTAGAGGAGGCTTACGGATTGAAATTAGTTCCATTTTTAAGAAAAAGATCTGTTATAAACTCATAAATCCTGCCTCCTACTATCCAGAAAGATTCTCGATACTGCATTTTCAGTTTCAGTATTACTGCATTTTAAAATCCTATTTTTTATATTCCTTGGTCATTTCAACAGATATGGAAAAGAATAAATCAGTAGCTTGTATTAAAAACTGCCATATTGCACACAAGTTTTCTGTTTGGTAATTTTAACACTAATTTTGATAAGGAAGTACTTTCTGGAAGGCAGTATTCCAAAAGATCCTGATTCAAAGTATTCTGTTGGGGTAAAACTTCAACTGAAATTTTATGACATAAAGACTACCCCAACAATGCTTAAATGTTCTTATTCCTAATTTTAGCTACTAATTTCTAAACATTAATTCAGTGACATTGTTTTGGACATTGTTTTAGAAGTAAACTATGGACTCCATAACAGTAACAATAATAGTTAATATTGAGTTCTTATTCTGTGCTGAGTGCTTGTTTATGTATATTAATATATTCATTTTTTGAGATTATACAAGGAAATATAAAATACTACCCCTACATATGACATCAAAAGCATAAGCAGCAAAAGAAAAACTAGATAAATTGGACTCCATCAAAATTAAAAATTTTTGTGCTTCAAAGGACCATTAAGAAAATGAAAAGACAACCCACAGAATGAGGGAAAGTATTTGCAAATCATATACTTGGTAAAGGGGCTTGTATCGAGACTATATAAAGTACTCGTACAACTCAATAATAATGAGACAAATAACCCAATCTAAAAATGGGCAAAGGATGATCTAAATAGACATTTCTGCAAAGATATACAAACAGTCAAACGGCACATGAACTTGACAACATTAGCCATAAGGACAATGCAAATCAAAACCACAATGAGCACTATACTTCACACCCAGCAGCATGATGATAATAAAAAAGAGATAATAACAAGTGTTGGTGAGGAGACAGGGAAGTTAGGACTCTTATATACTGCTGTTGGTACAGATGCTTAAGGAAAACAGCTTGGTGATTACTAGAATGGTTAAATAGTTATCACATGAACCTAGGCCCATACCCAAGAAAAATGAAAACATACGTCCACATAAGAAGCTGTACATGGATATTCAGAGCACCATTATTCTTAATAGCCAAAAAGTGGAAACCACCCAAATGATAAATCAAATGTTGTCTTTATCTATACAATGAAATAGATTCCACAATAAAAAAGAATGAAGTATTGATTCATACTATCAGTATAACATGGATAAACCT